TCTTGATCTGTTCAATCGAAGGCAAAACCACAGAGAAATGCAACCACCCTCTCTGCCCTGGGCGGCTTCGACATGGGAAGAGTAACTTGGCAAGTGTAGTAACCTCCAGCCTGCCTTACACGGAACATTATCACACAGCTCCTTCTCACCGCACAGACGCAGAAGGCAAGCCATGTGTTCTTCGACTTATTCCCTTTGACTCCCGCCCTTCCGGCCCTTCGCCCGGCATTGGACCTCATGGGCTGCTGCTGCTGCTGCTGCTGCTTCCAGTAGTCGCTGCAGGATGCGTGGCTTGAGTAGCCACTTGCTGGGGAGCGGACGGACAAGGGGGCCATTGGCTGAGATCCCCACCTCCCCTAGGATGCCGTAAACTGATACGGCGGAGCCCCTGGTCGCCTCCGAGGCGGGCGGGACCAGCAGGTCAAAGTCCTACAACGCCAACGAACATGGTGAGGGGGTGGTTAGTTTTCGGTCGTGCAAGAATGTGTCTCCCGTACGGTCGTGTTTCTTTACTGTTTGGCTCTTTGGTCATCAAAATTTCAACTTTTGCTCAAGTCGCTCGATCCCCCTCCAAAAGATCGGCGCGTGCGGCCTTCGTTGCTCTTCGCAAGGCCATCGGGGCTAGTCTATACCTGTTGCTCGCGAGGCTCTGAAAGGTCCACTTGCCTTTGTATCTTCTCCAACTTCTTTCAGAGTTTCAAGTTCCGTGTGATCACCTACGGCAGTGTATGCTGGTTTCCCTGTTGCACAAACGAACAGCTAGATGTTACCCACGGACAAACACAGCCGGCCTTTGGAGCTAACACCAACAGTCGCTTTTACCCACGCCGTACGCCGTATGGACAGTATTATAATAGTACATACCCCGGCGTACCCACTCTCTCATGTTTGCGCAATCCAATCCGATCGCTGAACTCTATTCAGGGTCGTTCCCCTAATTTTTAATATTTCGCAATTCCTCTCCCCTTCCCCTCTCTCTCTCCCTCGTTGTTACTTGCCACTTTGGCACCACCGACACACCGCGCTGCAACGGCAGCTTCCGCTCTCGTTGCTCAAGACGGCCCAGGGCCAGCCTATGCTGGTGGAGCTGAAGAACGGTGACACCTACAACGGGCGACTCGACAACTGCGACAGCTGGATGAACATCAAGCTGAAGGACGTTATTTTCACCTCAAGGGTAAGGGGGGACGACGGACAGACGGTGTTTGGCGCCAGCGGCGCGCCTTGCTGGTATGCGTATGTGTTGCCGCAAGGACGGCACGGGGCCCCGAAGCGTGTACCGTCTCTTTCGAGCTCCATACTATCTTATACCTACTTGCTGCAAAGAAGCGCGCGACGACAGGTCCCCGATGGTAGAAAGCGGTCAACAAGAAAGGAACGGAAAGGCAATGCACGGAGGGCTGTCGCATCCGAACCTGTGTCCCGTGGTATCCCTGTCGTTGTCTGCCCCTGGTCGCCTCTCACAAGCACTCTCAAAAGTCGTCAAGCTGAAGGAGCCTTCTAACCTGCTTATTTCCTCTCTAGCGTCCTCTGCAATCTCATCTTATCTCTTGCACGTCGCACAGCAGTCTCAACTCGTCCCCATCACTAGCCGTGTCTTCGACCCTAACCTCTCTTGCACGTTGCATAGCAGTATCGACTCATCCCATCACTTGCCTTGTCTTGCCCCTACCTCTCACGCCGCCCCTCGCCTCTCCTCGTTATAATATGCATAGGATGCCGACAAGTTCGTGAAGATGGTGGAAGTGTACGTTCGCGGCAACAGCATCAAGTACGTCACGATTCCAGAAGAGGTGTTGGACATGGTGCAAGAAGAAGACCTCTCCAAAGAGAGTGAGTTGACTAACCAAAATCTACGTTTTCTGTTTCGTGTTGCGTTTTGTTTCTCCAGCACTTTGGAACGTCGGCAATTTGTGCGCGCCGCTGCTGGCCGTTTGTTCGCCGCAGCCGGAGCCATCTGTCTGTTCCCTTTTGTTTCAGCATCGCAAAGCAGTAGTGGCAGCAGCTTTCGACGAGCTGGTTGTGCAGGTAGAGCATGTTGAGAACTTGAGACACGGCCATCCGTTCTACATAGAAGCTCGAAAGTCAAAGGCAGCTATTTCTGTCTCGTTCGATCCATGTACAACTTCGGTTGCGACGAGGGGCACACGTCTACCCCCACGCGTGTTTTTGTTGCTCGCACGCCCACTCCTCGATCTCTCTGCGTGATTTGTTTTTGCAAAATGACGCCGTCACAGAGCGCGCCATGGGCGGGAGAGGTCGCGGTCGCGGGCGAGGCGGACGGGACGGAGGCAGGGGCGGCGGCAGAGGGCGGGGCGACGGGAGAGGTCGTGGCCGCGGGCGGGGCGGGCGGGACGGGGGCAGGGGTGGCGGCGGGAGGGGACGGGGCGAGGGCAGGGGTGGGGGCAGAGGGAGAGGCGAGGGGAGAGGTGCCGCTGGGCGGGGAGACAGCGGCGGGCGAGGTGAGTGAAGTTTGGCTTGATCTCTCGAGAGGGTGGTATGAGACGGTGGGAGAGATACTGTACATATTCAGGGGAAACGGGAGGGGAAGTGTTACCTGGAGCTGCACTTGGAGCATCTTTCCTGACCTTGTCATCGGTTCGTGTTTGAGGTTCTTCGGCGATTGCTGAAAAGACATGTTGCATGAGGTTCGATACAGTCGCGACTGCGAGTTCGTCTGTCGTCGGGTGTTTGAAAAGTGCCCATGTTAGCTTTAGTGTTATTTGGGCGGTGTTTTGCATGGAGGCGTGCCGGGACACGATTTTGTGATGTCCGTGTCTGCTTATCAACTCCAAGATTTACGGCAATTCGTTTCTCAGCTCATTTTGAGAGAGAAGTTTGTATTCCGCGATGGTGGGCAATGTATGCGGTAGTTTTTCCTCCATTTTTTTACCTTGTTTGACCCCGATGGAGTTCTAGTACTAAGCATCACATTCACTCTGATCTACTGGGAGGGCTTTGCAGGGGATGCGCCACCCCCCTCGAGTATACAAATCGTTCGACGACGTATCTATTGGAATGGTTGTGGTGGTCGCAATCCTAAGCCGCTTAACACGAACTGCCGCAATCCGTAACACACCCACCCCGTCACACACTTGCGAAACCACAGTCAATTCTTTACACGCCCGACAGAGGTTTGTTTGTACGAAAAACGAAGAAAACACCTTGGGGTGCTGTTGACACCGCGCGATCTCTTCCGCAGTGCTCCCCCGCCCGCGTGGTTTTTGCCCAAAGATAGCTGCTCACCAGCTTTTTTTGTCGCTCTCGCCTTTCTTCGACGTTGGCAATGGGGTGCGCTGACACTGCTGCAGGGCGGGGCTAAAGACCCGCTCGTGCGGCGGGCGCGTGCCTCTCAGCGAAGCGGAGCAAGGGCAACTCGACGACGATGGCGGCCGGGGAGAATAAGGCTGCGCTCGCGGCGGCGAAAACAGGTCTCGGAAAGCGGAGCGGAGTCTCCCCCCGGGGTGGACCGTCATTGACGATGAAGCGGAGGCGGGGAAAAGCAAGCAGATACGTAGCGGAGAGACCGGACGGCGCCAAGGGAGGAAAACACGCAAGGGGTGCGACCGAGAGCGAGAAACAACGGTACCCGTGCCCTAAGGAAGGAGGTCCGGTACCTTCTACCGCCGCGTTTCCGGCCGTAGTCTACTTCTGTTTACGGAGATGGCGGACGGAAGTCGCTGAGAAGGTGTTGTAGATAGCCCCATCGTCGCGTGGCGCCAGGCAGACGCTCGCTGAGGGTAGGGGATAGGAGAGGGGGTCGTGGTGGTGGTATTGCTGTAGTCGGCAGCTTCTCGCGGCCTGCGCATGCGATGGTGGCGTCGATAGCCAAGTGTGCGGGCGGCGGGAGAAGGAGAGGGAGCGGAGGCAGAGGTCGGCGGGACATCATTTCAACCCTCCCCCCGGCCCGCGCCGCCTTGTCATGAATGTCGTCTTGTTTGATTACCGCCTTCAATGCCGGCACGGTGAACTTGTAGCTAATACGGGGCGGGCCGGCCCAAGTTGGACTTTTGTTTAGTCGCCCAATGTTTGGTTGCGTTGGCGATGATGTAGGATAGGAATATGCGCGATGTTGAAGTGAACAGGAAGGGCTTGTCACACCCGCAGCTCATGTGCACGGCCCACTACACCGTGGCGGTTACCGCGAACCCGGGTGCCTGGCGGCTGGCGTAGCGGCGCCGGTACGGGAGGCGGTTTGTTCATGCTTGCCCTAGATTTCGTGGCCGTCGAGGCCGTCAGGTCTGTCTGTGCTTCGTGGTGTTTCTGTGGGACCAGACAAAGGCGGCTCGGTTGTGGATTGGTGTTGGATAGGTGTTGCTTCGACTCAGTCGTACGTCTTGGACGGTTGTGAAGTAGGAGTGAACTCCCGTTGGCTTGGTTTTAGGAACGGTACGACTCCCGAGGTCGCTATGTAATGCTGGGTTATGTGCGCGCTCATCGCCGATGCTTTGTAGCCCCCCTCTCGTCTTGCACTCACGTGTTTTTGTGAAATGTAAAAGTAGTTTGCGTCGATCGATCGGTGCTTGGTGGCACCCAGCTTTGCTGTAAAAGGGAGCCTCAAGGGTTGTCTTGGAACTGGAACCCACCGCTTCGTTGATGGTAAATTCCGCACACGCACGCCACGGCGGTGTACTCTCTAAAGTCGTCGGTTCATTTCACTTTCGGTCTCTTCCGAGGTTCAAGCCTATTGCATCGATGCAAACAATCCTCTCGCTACGTGCCATTCCCAGACCATCAAACTGAGCCCGAAAACTGCAACCTGCAAACGCGCGAGCCAAACGGATCGTCTCGCTGCGCCCCCCACCCCACTGCCCGTAGCTTAAGTTACAGTCTGACCCAGCAGTCCATCTCGTGGTTCCAAACCACGGACAACTTCCTGGGTGTCAAGGGGGACACACCGTTGTGAACCACACGCACAGGATGAGCGACTCCTACGGCCCACGTCCGGTCACTGCCACTACAAAAACTCGAGACAAACTAGAACATGTTCAATGCTTCAACTACGTGATTTTAGTCTCTCTTGTATGGGTACCCGCCGCCTTCGTGTTGGTGGTGTGGAGCGAAACTAGCTTGGCGATGATGGCGGTAAAATCGTCGGCCGTCAGCTCCTTGTGCCTGCTCGGGGGCGGCGGCGCGTGCGCGAGGGGACGAACGTCAGCGGTGTGAAGAGACAAATCAAGGTTAGAAGCACCACGGGTTAGAGGCATGATGCCGTGACACACACTTACTGAGGTCGCCGTTCAAGTGTGGACATGAGTTGATTTGCTGGAGAACGGCGATTCGCGTATCAACCAAGCAACTTTGACTCAGAAAACAGAGCCAGGGATTCACACAAGAAGGAGCTTGATTTAGACGGTTCCACGACGAAAGCGACCTCCGCATGCTCAGCCTGCCCGTCTTTTGGCCCCACGATGTTGTCCCTCAACATCTCATTCATTCATTGTTGCCGGACGTATACAAGCGTGCCTTGCAATTGTCAACGCACCCGTCCACCACACCGCACTGCGCAGCCAAGCGGTCCAGCTCCTCGTGTCCACACGAGAACAGGTCTGAACCCACTCGGGCCATGACACCTTGAAGCTCTTTCATGGTACAGGTGCCGCACGCCTCGGCACTCGTCGCCTGCGTGTGCCCGAACGCAAACCATATCCAAAGCGAGATCCAGAAAAGGGAGTGGCAAAAGCGGCATGGCAGGGAGGAGAAATCGGTGGCGTCTGTGTTTTGTGGGGGTGCTGGTGTCTTTACTTAGTGGGTCAGTGTTGCATCACTCGGTCGGGAAACGATGATATTAGTGTTCGGGCTCGTTTAGTGTTCGGGCTCGTTCGACTGATAAATTGCCGGAGGGAATGTGTCATTCATACCCGGAAGGCCATGTCGATGTCGTTGATGAAATGGAGAGGCAACGACTCGTTTTTTCCCACCAAGGAATTCTTGTCGGCCAAGAATGCGTCTCGCAGCCGCTCCAGAAGTACAGCGATATCCATGACGGCTACCATCCGCTTAGCCTCGTCATGTTTTGCAAAATGGAAAACCAACTGTAGGGGAGGAACGGGGTGGGCACGGGAGCGGGTGCGGGGAAGGAGAATGGTGGGGACGGGCTGCGGCATGGTTCAGCCATGTTTGAGAAGTGCCTCTCGACCAAAAATCGACCTGATGCGTTTGAAGCGATGCGTCCTATTGAGTCTGTTCCTCAACACGAGCATGCCCTTGACCTGTACCATTGTTATTTGTCTCACCGAAACCTCTTTTGGCGACTGCTAGAAGCTCGACGTCGAGCACCCGAGGTACATTCTTACAGAGCAGGAGTCATGCACACAAGCCATGGTATGGACTGTCAGATGTCAACCTCGACCCGCGGTACTGATTCCACGCTGCCCCTCCGGCAACGCCTTGGTATTCCTGACGACAACAGGGCGCGACAACCATGAACACCACACGATCGGCAGCACCCACGAAAACAAAAAAGACAACCAGAGTCGAAATTCTCGACTCTGCACACACCTGCATGAGGTCCTCCAACGACAGAGGCCGGTTCCACTGAAGCACCCGCGATCTCGTGAGTTCCTGCAGCAGGGCGTGAGAATACGGATCCGCTTGAATGTCAGGGTTCTCAGCCAGGCCCCTGACTGTCAAGTGCTCGGCACCCTGTGCGTTCAAGTGGTTGGCGAACACCTGGAACTCGAGCACGTCGTCGAGGCTGTACGGGCCGAAGCGCTCCCCGCTGGGCCCGGTCAGCCCCACCATCGCCTCGTGCCGCCGCTGCTGAGTCTCCTGCAAGGTGACCAAGTCGTACCTCTGAGCCCGTCGGTACCGCTCGTTGTGCCTGATCGCTTCCTGCCTGGCCGCGATGCGGGCGTCGAGCTGCCGGCGCATGGCCCTGACCTTCTGGTCGGCTGCGTCGTTTGGCCCGCCGTTCCGGCTATCACCGTCGTCGTTGACCGACCGTTCGAATCTCGATATCACCTCCTTGACGCGGGTAGATATGACGACGGTTCCGGTTCCCCTGCCCTCGCCACCGGCGATGCCCCACCCTCCGTTCGTCTGCTTCTTTTTCTCCTCCTCCTTCTTCTCCTCCTCCTCCTCCTCCTCCTCCTCCTCCTCCTCCTCCTCTCCCGCCCGCGGGGAGGAAGTTGGCAACTGGGAAACCATCCCCTCGCGCTGCCCCATCCGGCGAACGCCGTCCAGGATGTAATCCATGCGCCGGCGTCGGCGATCAGCGGCCATTCTCTTGGCGACAGCGGCCTTCGTAGAGACGGTGGGTCTGATCGACAAGTTCGATCTGTTCGAAGTGTTCGACCTAGCCGAAGCGAGGTTCAGAAGCGACCTTTGAGTGGGAAGCACGTTCGGTGTTGATCTCTGCGTCAAGGGAACGGCCGACCTTTGGGTCAGGGGCATGCCGTGACGTCTTTCTGCTTGCCCGGCGACCCGGCTCCCTCCATTAACCTCTCCTTCACCTTCTCCTTCTACCCCACCTTCACGTGTTTGACGGAGGGGGGGCACTTTGTTGATTGGCACCCCCAACCGCAGCGCGAGGCATGGTGCCACAGCCATCACGCTATGCCTGAGTTTTGACGCGGGGGACATCGCCTTTGACTCCGACAATGGAGTCGTAGCGGAATCGCCGCGCGTCACCGCCTTACCTTTCTCGGTTAGACCCTCCCGTCGTGGCCCAGGGGACGTGAACGGCCTGACGCCGGAACGAACAGTACGTCCGGTCACCCGCGGGCCCTCCACGGCCTCGATCTCCTGCGGTTGGAATTCGGAGGGCGAGAGGAAAGCCGTCCCAGTACCCGTGCCACTGTGTGTGCGGGTGATGCTATCGGACAAGAACTGCAACGCAGATCGCGTTCGCTTGGCGTGCTTCCTGTTCTGTTCGGCACTCAGGTTCGGTGGCACCTTCTGAGCGGGCGAGAGTGGTGGCTCCGAATCCCCTCGCGACTGCCGCGCAGTGTGGTGGTAGCCGTGACGTCCTTGCTTGCTAGCGGCAGAAGGCGGCCGCGACTGACCAGCGCCCCCCCGGAGTTGGTGCTTCCACCCTTCTTGGGCTTCGCTCAAGAGCCGCTCCTCGATGTCCTCCTCCGCCCCTTGCAGGCTCTCGCTTCGTGCGTCGGAGTCTGCTGCCACCGTCGTCGCCACTCGCATCTGCGTGAGCTCCTCGATCCTTGACAAGCATGCGGCGGAGATCGCCGATTGCGTTCGCAACAAATCCTTGGTTTCGACGGCAACTGTTCTCCCTTTCTCTGTTGGTGCCTTGCTGAGGGGATCACCGGGTGATGTCGGCATCCTGTCCGTTCTAGCCTCGCGTGTTGGCCCCGTCGGGCCGCGGTCGGAGGCCGTAGAAGTCACCCCGAGCACGGAGCCATTGGCGGGAGCCTTGGACAGGGGGCTCAACAGGTCGCCGCATCGGTTTGTTGGGGGCTCCGAGTTCCTCGGACCACCACCACCAACAGCCGCAGGCACCGGATGGCGTTCTTCTTGGCGAACGGTTTTCAGCCTCTGTTCAAGGGCCGTAGCTCGTGCGCTCGCTTCGGCGTTTCGCCCGTTCGGCGGAGGTTCGAAGCGCCAAGGGTGCGCCGCCGCCCCCGCGACGTTTTCACTCTCTGCCATGACCCCGAGCAGGACGCCTCCCAAGGAGAAGAGGCGCGCCGAGCTGTCGAGCGAGCCCGTGAGGACACAGGGAGGGGTGGAGACTATCTGCATGGAGGTGATGCTGTCGTCGTGACCCTTCCACGAAAACACGGGGTCGATGTCGTCGGGCCTAGCGTTGAGGGTCGCCTCCGCCTGCGTTTTCGGCCCGGCCGGCCGGCGCTGGCTGTCGCAAGCATCGGGCACGCTTCTCGACGACAACGAAGACGACAAGGACGGGTTTGAGGCCCCCTTTTCCCCCCGTCCCCTGGGCTTGCTATCCTCGCCGAGAAGAAGCCCTTGCTTGCGTCTGGCGGTCGGAGAGCGATCGCGAGACCTGCCGGCGGTGCTGCCGGCGCTCAGGCTGCTGCTGTCGGCGGACGATTTCGCTCCGGCTGGCGGGGGGCGCCTGGCCCTCACTCTCCCGCCACGGACGCTACCGCTCTCTTCGTCAAGACCTGCTCGACGGGGCCGGGCGTCTCTGCTGCCGTCTGGCTCCGTCTTCTCGCTATGCAAGTGGTCCCCCCGGCGCAACACCCTCCCGATGTCGATCAGCTCTCTGAATCTCTTGGCGGCGTGCAGCCCAACGCCGTCGAGGGGCCCCTGCCGGTAGTGAACGAAGTGGTGGGACGCCGCGCCGAACGACGACGGGGGAAAAGCGGCCTTGTCCTCCGTACCGTCGACGCCGCACGCTGCCGGCCCGAGCTTGTCGAGGAGGACGGCCGTCAGGTCCCAAACCTTGATCGATCCGAGCTCGTCGCCCGTGAAGAGTATGCTGCCGACCTCCCACGGCGTTGCCGTCGTAGGCATGTTGATTTCCGTGGTCGGCGGAGTGTCTCCTCCTTGCCCCGGCAGCGGTTGCGGTGCCTGTCGGATCGACCCTTCTTTGTCCCCACAGCCCGTAACTGATGTGCTTTCCTTTCGTCTCGCCACCACCGGCTTCTTCGTCGCTCTCCGAGCGGTGGCGATGTCAGCGGGATCGCTATCGGCAGCTGTGTGGTGGCGGAACGCCATGCAAGTGACCGGGGTCGGCAGCACCTGCCGAGCCCGCCTTTCACCGCCGCCGCCGCCGCCTGCAGCCTTGGGCGCGGTGTCCTTTGCCGTGATGACGGTGTTTCGTATCATCAACAGCAGCGCTCCGCCGTTTGGGTGGGGTCGTGTGGCCCAGATAAGAACTTTCCCCGTCATGTCTGCCGTCGCTAAGCAGGGGAGTGGGTCGAGGAAGCGTACGCACGTGATTTCCTGCCTGTGCGCCACAATGACTTCCTCCAGCCGGAGCAGACCGTAGTCCCACAACTGAAACGCAAGTGGCAGCAGGTCCAACGATAGAAGAGAACGGTGAACGAAACGTGAGGCTTGCGACGGAGGGACGGGAAGAACGTACAAGCGTGCTTCGTGTATGAGGAGCGTGTGGCGCCCAGCGCGGCCATTGAATTTGCATGTTGACGGATGCGGGTCGTTTCGGTCGACCTCACTGCAGTTGAGTGATCACGTAACCTCTACGTGGTCCTTGTTCTGATATCAATGTTTGATATCTCAAGAGCCTTCACATTGCAATCACAAGTTGTAGCTATTTCTGCACGAGGAAAACGCGAAAGACTGGACCAAAAGAGAAAACTGTGAAGATCAAGTACAACACACGAGAGTTTAAGGAGGTGCAGAAGACGAATTTTGGTGTTGACTAACTTTGAAATCAAATGCAAGAGCACCAGAAATTGCACAACAGACACACCAGACCAGTTGGAAGGCAGCGCGAAAAACGGAAATCGCTGATTCTCGCACAGGGCGGCAGTAGAAGCTGCTTAAACCATGCATTTCACGCGTTTACCTCCACACGCCTCCTCTGAAATCAAGATAAAGATAAACATTTACACCATTCTAAATTGTTGTCAAAAGAGCCAAAACGGAAGGCGCTCAAACAAGGTCAATTTTGAAGGTTAGGTGTCGCATTCTATTGTCATCAGTAGAGGACATCATGAAGATGCGTCGTGCGTCGTGCGTGCTGGCACGTTCAGGTTTGCTACCGGAGCTGAAATATCGAAGGTCGCAGCAGCCTCTGAGAACAGTCCGAAATCTGTGCCGGAACCAAGCGGCATCCAACATTTGTCACAGCCGTGCTCGCCGCCACTGACTCCAACCCACTGAACTGCGGGTTTACAGCAGTAGCTGATGCCACTAGCTACTGCCACTAGCTGCTGACGACCCAATGGTTCAGGGGGTTACTGTCCGCGGCGGTGAGCACGGCTGTGACAAATGTTGGATGCCGCTTGGTTCCGGCACAGATTTCGGACTGTTTTCAGAGGCTGCTGCGACCTTCGATATTTCAGCTCCAGCAGCAAATCTGAACGTACCAGCACGCACGATGCCTCTTCATGGTGTCCTCTACTGATGACAATAGACTGCGACACCTAACCCTGGCGGGAAGGTTGTTTTCTTTGTTTGTATCGGATTAAAGTATGGCAAAAAGAACCAGCGTCACAACCCCTTTTCTGCACCTCCTTAAGGGATAGAGAAAAACCAAACCTATTTCAATACTTCAGCGGTATTGGCGAATGGTTCCGAACGTCCTACAGCCGTGACGACAGCAGACTGCCTGCTGCCTGCCTTACCCGCACGGTGAGGTCGCTAGACGCCGTCGCTATCAGTCCGAGTCGCGCGGACGCCCCCATGAGCGTGATGTCTCCCTCGTGGGCGTCCACGACGGACCTTAGCGTGAACGCGCACCGGTGGCCGACGGGCTCCTGCTCCCCCTCTTCCCGTCTCCGATTCGCCTTCCAGCGGGTCGCGGAGAAGGACCGGATCCGCGCGTCGTGCACCTGAATCATCCCGTCCCACCCGGCGCTGATGAAAGCGTTATCCTCCTCGACGAAGAGCAGCGCCGAGACCTCCGAGCGGTGGGGGTTGGCCGACATGACCCACCTGCCCGTGACACCGTCGTACACGCGCAGCCCGCCTCGCTGGTCGCCCACCACCGCCTTCTTGTGCCGCGCGTCCATGCAGAAGGCCGTGACCTCGCGGCCGTGGGTCGGCCCGAACGTCCGCCTCTTGGGGTTCCCGGTCGCCGCGTCGAACCAGACCGCCTCCCGAAGCACGACGCACAGCTCGCCGGTGTAGGAGGAGAACCAGGCGCCGAGCGGGGATGCCTCGACCTTTGGGGTGGGCGCAGCCCGAAACACGTGCATCTTGCTCCCGGCCACGATCAGGCCCTCCTTCCACACGACGGCCATCGTCCGAGGCGAAACTCGCGTGTTTCGGAGGGAGAAGGACTGGAGGCACGTGCCGTGGTCGGAGTGCCCCCGGTGGATGTCCCAGACGCGGAAGGCCCCGCTCTCGTCCCCGGTGACGGCGCGCTGCGTCTCGTGCTCCACGATGACGACGCCGATGAGGGAGTGGCGGTGTCCCACGAGCTTCATATGCAGGTGGCTGGAGCTGCGGTCCCAGCAGCTGGCATCGAAGTCGAACCCCGCGGACAGGATGAGATCGTGCTCGCTCGAGTAGGCGAGCGACAGGACGCCGTGGTAGTGTCCGACCAACACGAACAGCTGAGCAAATCCAGCCCAAAACGAATGGTGACCCAGCGCGTACAGCGGCATCGATGAGGACAGGGAAGACTAAATTTGTCAAGAGCGGCACCGACGCGTACGGGGGGTCATGCAAGGCTCGTGCTGCGTTATTGGAGCACGTTATTGAACTGATGATGCCGCAAACCTACGTGTAGCTACCTTGAGCACGGTCTCTCTTCTCCGTTTAACTAGGTTGGAAAGAAGGATCAAGTTTGTTAGGCGAACAGGGATAAATCGTATGTGTTGAGTTACTACCGAAGTAGAGCGAGCACGATGCGTATCTGCTCTGTACCATTCCGTACCCGAAACTTTGCTGCATCTACAAACTGGTTTGTACGACCCGTACCTTCTTTGGTGCGAGGTTTTTTGCTGTTTTCTCTAGTCGGAGGTTCCACAGCACGACTTTGCGGTCCATGCCAGCAGTCACTGAGGTGGCGTTCCCAGCATGAGTGGCGGGGGGGGCGGAGACATATTTGGCGCTTACCTCTGTCTCTGGGCCATCGACCATAGGCGGGAGCTCAACTTCGAGGTCAACGGGAGAAAATGAAACGACTCGAAGTATCATAGCTGGTACTTCGTATGCTGCAAGGAACGCAACAACCACAATGAGCGGAAAAATAAATCTCGGGCAAGACATACCGGGTTTGAACCAATCCTCCTACGAGGCACTCATGTCTTTCGTCTCACGAGGCACCCTAATAACAACAACACGCTCTGAATAGAGAAGGCAACCCCCCCAGCGTTTTAATGTACGAAGAACCGTATGCTCACCAAGGATAGGATCCCACGGTTTCTCTGCGGATTCGGGGTTTCCCGCGAGTGGTACGGGGGCGACCTCGCAGATATCCTTGACTGGTTCGCAGTGCCCGTCCAACACATGCAGAACCGTAAGCTTGTCCACGTCCCACACGATGATCTCGTGGTTGAATTCGTCCACCCCCCAAGACGTCAGGACGTCCATGGAACGGCAGAATCGGAGCCCCACTTGCACGTCCCTCAGGCGGGTGTGTCGGAGCAGCTTGCAGGTTTCCAAATCCCACACGGTCAGATACCCGTCGGCGCAAGAAACTGCTGCTTGGTTGTCACGCCCGATGAAGTCCATTGCAAGAACTGCCATGCTCTCCTGTTTCATGTAGAGAGGTGTGCAACAAAGACATGGCATTATTTGCTTTCAGCCCTTCGGGTGATAGAAACGCATTTGAAGCCGGGGCGCGTTTATAGATGCCGTTCCTGTTAGGGAGATATATTCTGTGCTGCCAGATAGCGTACCTTGCGATGGAAACTAACCGCAACTGTGTAGACTGTAGCACCGAAGCAATTCATGAGACGCGAATCGTGTGTGAGGGTTATTATCGGCCGTTGCAAACCCGTCGGTGAATACACCCCGGCCTTAGTAGGGGTACAAGAAGAGCTTCTTTCGATTGCATCGTCTTGGTTGGTGATCTTTGATTCTTGTTTGTCTGGTTATTGTCCTCGGCCTCGCGTGTCGAGCGAGAGCGATGGGCTCAATCTGTCCATCTCTGGGACGTCTGGAGTCTCATTTCTGCTTTATGTACTATAGATATGGAAGTGACCGTCCAAAATGATCCTATCTCCCACATGCCTGTCGAAAATGGCTCCCCCTTTTCACATTTGGTATCGACGAAGAGATTCGAACTCGAACTCTCACGGGCATAGCCCAACGGCATACTTCATGGTAATATAGCACTTGTTGTGTTGATATTCTTGGGTTATATTAAGACCCTGTTGCTATGCAATTACTGTATGCAATTTTGTAGGCAGTTGGCCTGCGACCACAGAAGGCGCTGTAACAGTACGAGTGTTTGAAGGTACTCAGAGAGAGTGAGAACAGTTTTGATTGTCAAGACAAGTAGCAACCAAACCCCATCTCCACGTCCGCTTGTTGTGCATGTTGCCGGTACAGCAGTATTAAACCCACCTCGGTTCCGTTCGCGGGCGGTAGAGCACTCGGCGCTCTATTAGCAGCACTCCGAGACTTTCCCTTGGGTCCTGCTAGGCGTGTGGACCGCTTGGTGTCTATGATGAGCTTTCGCATGGCGATAGCGGGCTCGATCTGTCGCACTTTGAGCGGCCCGAGAGTGTAGATCTTGAGTATTGCTGTGCCCTCAACAACCACCAGGAGTTCTAGCCTCTTCACGAAACGCATGCTTCGAATCTAGGTGCAAGTTGAATTCCAAGATTGAAGGAAGGGTGCGGAACAATCGACGAGATCGATAAATTGAAGGTGAGTATCAAAGTGGTACAATCTGTACGAGACATTGTATGTGGAGGTCAGTCTACGGCGCGGTCAAGAGACCCAGCATTTCCTTCGTTCATACATGAATGCCTGCAACACAACTGGACTACCACAACATAGTTGAACGAACCTCATGGCAGTGGGAGCTGCGATCGGTGTACCCCAACTTCTCAACGAAACGAGTCATGCCGCCGTCTTGACCCTCGCGTGCTCCCGTCGCTGCGCCTTGTTCGTCAACCTCGAGCCCTTGGTTCTCAGAATCACGCCCCCTCATGTACACGCAAAAGTCGGTGAAGTGTTCCCAATCGACAACCCCGAGCGAATCAACATCCACTAGATCGAAAAGGATACACATCCTTTCCACGAGTTGCCGAGTCTCAAATTGGCTTCTACCTATCGGCCCATGGTCGGCGCTTGGCCTCAGGCAGACGGCGCGGTAGAACTCTGCTACGAATTCGTCCAACGTTATCCGTGGGCGCTTTTGGGGACCTCTCGTTGCAGTGATCGGCTGCAGGGCGCGCCGGAGCACCGCGAGAGTGCCCCCGTCTAATATGCACAATACATCCATTGTCCATACCACGCCAGGAAGAGCGCACAAGAACAGCAAACAAGAGCAGCTCCTGGTTGCACAGGTCACAGCAGTCGGTGAGCCAGTCTGTATATCACAAGCCTGTGGCTATACGGCAAGCCTTCGCCGAAGCCCCGACGTTCGGCCGCACACCAGATCTGCAGAGCTGTACATGCACGCGCATGTGTTGTGCAGAAGGGAGAGCCAGATTGCCCAGCGACAACTTCCAGTGTCGTCGGAAACTCGTCGGCTCGTCAAGGGGAGCGGCATGATGAGGCATGGTGCATGCGGGGCACCCGCAGGAAGGAGGTCATGTTCAAAGTTTCTGCCGAAGGGGGAAACGCTCATGATTGGGCGAGGTCGACAGTCCTGAAACGCCAACAGAAAAAAAAGCCATGCTGGATTTTTGAAACCACCGGCAACAGCAGCAGCAGCAGAGCAGCAGTTGTGTGGGTTGGTTGTTCGTTTTGGCGCGCCACACAGCAAGGGGGGGGGCAAGCGAGACAAGGCATGTCTCAAAGCAAGAGGAAGGCATGGGATGCCACGGTGCAAGCCAGCGGGCATGTCCCAACACGTACAAAAACGAAACGGGCTTCAGGTGAGAGTCCTCACACAAACACAACTCCGACAGAGAGCCAGCGGATGCGTGCAGTCATGACCTCAAACCGATCAACCGGGAGTGGGAGGCTGTGTAAAGGCAGCGCAGTATCCCCGCGAAAGCGCTACTGACGAGTACTCAAGGTGTTGTAGCGCATGTCATTTTGCCCAAACTGTTGTGTATCGATGATAAAAGACAGTCACCGACCCCCCTCTACCTGCCCCCCCCACCGCCTTGATGCCCTAGGACGTACGGTGGTGCTCAGTAAGTCGATGCGCGTTGTGGATGAAGAAACGAGAAATCAGGTTTGTGCATGGTGAATATGACCGTAGAACAGAAACACGGAGGCCGCGATTGCGGATGAGACGGGGCTACCGGACGGTGGTGTTCTACAGCAGCAGCAGTACAGCAGTAGGCTTCGACTTGACGGTGAAACCACGAGACCAAGGGGCAAATACGTATAGCACTTGAGAGAAAAGAGGCAATAGGGCATGCCACGCATTCTCTGCATTACAGATACATTGGAGGGTGCCCCAAGTTGTCACAATCGAACAGCTGCATTGTCGCGTTCTGTTGTGGTAACACGTGGTGTAGGCAGAAGTGAAAGCACGACAACTATTTGCCCTGTTCACAACACCGCTGAAATGTTGCCGTCCTCGTCAGACACAGGTAGCGTCATGATGCGTTTGATCACGCAATTGATCCTCCGCTGCTGCTGGGATGCTTGTCGTCTTTCGGCCTTTTCTCATTCATATTGTTCCGACCAGGAATGCTGCTGCGGTGCTACTCTCTTAACCCCCCCGCCGCAACGTGACAGGTCAAGGACGCGCGTCTGGAAGCGTTGGAAGCGGATAACTACACCGAAGACCACGTAAGAATCGTTGAGAACGCTGCCCCTTTGTCCTGTGAAGCTGGTTCCGTTCCGTCCGTGCGTTGATGTTGTGGAAGGTCCTTGCACACACGTGCGCTCGAGAACGGACACGCGTCCCAGAGAAGTGTAGTTTGTCAGCCTCGTTTCGACCAGGTCGCACGTGCATGCCTTTTCCGTGTGCTGCGTTTCTCCCTCCACGTGACCTCCGGACGAACGGTGGCAACTCTCTGGCGTACCCGGCGGCAAACAGCAACATCTCTAGAGAGTCAAAAGCGAAAACGTATATGGAGTAGAGGCAGGGCACCTAGCACAAAGTAGGTGTCCTTCAACATACACCTTCCCTCCCTTCTTCTTCCCTCCACATCCTGAACAGGTTTCGGAGTAAGGAAAACGTCGCGATCGCGAAACCCGTAGCCAGAACGGCCCAAAACAGTCTGCATCGATTGTTGTCGCTAGTATAGTATATGTCCACCCACCGTGACATGCGCTGTTTGTGTTGCTCTCTAGGGAGGAGAGCAGGATGACGAGTTTGCCTTGGATGAGGACGACGAGCGAGGGGATCGGCCGCGGGGCAGGAGCAGGGCGGGCAAGGCCCCGGGAAACAAGAACAAGAACAAGGGAGAGAAGGACCCTTGGTGAGGGCACGGCAGCGTGTTGGTTGTGGCTCACGCGCCTGCTCCTGGTGCTTGGGTGGTTGGTCGTTAAAACGAAGGGTGGGAGTGGGGACTATGTAGTCGTGTGGGAGGAAGCTTTCTATGTAGTGGTGCATGCGCCGTTTAGCCCGAAGCTGGGAGGTACTGTTGTAGTTCCATGTAGACGGGTTGTAGTTCATGTAGACGGGTTGTGACTTCTACACGAAATTCTGCACGAACTGCATCACACACGTTGTTCGGAAGCTGCAACGGGCTACAGCAGTGGTAAGGGCGGCCGGGTGTGTGTGTGTGTTGCCACTCCAACATTTCACGGCGTTGCCCGTCACGACGTTAGGCGTCGTCCCCCAAGCACAATGTAAAACGACCCACAGCAGTAGTTGGACTTCAGCCGGTTATTGTTGTACACCAGCGGCTGGCGTATGCTCGCCCGCTCTACATTCAAGCTGATGTCGCTCTAAAAATGATGCGCATTTCCCCCGCCATACCCCTCTGTCTGCCTCTTGCTGACGACATTTTCACTGCGACCGCGATGAATCCAGGAAAGAGCGCAAGTTCAAGAGCCTGCACCAGGTCCTCTACGAATTGGTAAGATAATCCTGGCACACTGTTCTCGCAAAAGCTGCCACGACGTGCCACTCTTGTTGCCGTTGCACGTGGCGAATGCGGTCGGTGCTGCAGAGTTAGTGCCCCCGCATTGCGCTTGCGTTCACACGGAGGCATGGTGATACACGCAGCTTGTGAATTTTTATTCCCTGGCAAAAGGAAGTCCCACCGGCAGAGAAACGTTGTTGCGAAGATCCGTTCTGCTGAAAACGGGGGCGGCTGGGGATATTCGCTGCAAATAGAACCAACCCGCCCGGCGTCCTCTCTCCTCCCCTCGCTTACTTGCATGCTGATGCCGATTTGTTTTTTGTGCTTTCCCCTCCTCTCCGCACAGACGAACGAACTCTCGGCGTACCCGGGCGGGGCAACGGCTGTGAGCATCGAGGCGCCGGTGTCGAAGCACCCGCCGCGGGCGTTCTGTTCCGTGTGCGGCTACCACGGGCTGTACACGTGCACGCGGTGCGGGTCTCGGTTCTGCAGTTCCAAGTGCTACGAGCAGCACAAGGAGACGCGTTGTCTCAAGTTCGCATCGTAGATTGTATTCCGTATAATAGAGTTGCAAAGAAGCGGTAGGGATGCCGCGTACGCACGCGATCGGGGAGAAAAACTGGTGCCGGTGTTACAGCAGTTGCAAACCTGCCTTTTTCCGTCGGTGCGGCTGGGCGGCATTCAGGTTCCTGTTTTGAGTGTCGGATTCTGTTTGTTAAGAAGGGTAAATACCTTCTTCGCGGGGAAGCGGCGTCGGTTTTTTCCCAGGGGAGCGTCGGTTTTCCCAAGGGCCAATGCACGACAAATTGAACAAAGATTTTGTGTAGGAGAAATGTGTACCTGTATTTGTGCGACGTGCCGCGTGATGGTTATTCAAAAGGAATGGGTCCGACTGAGTTTTTGCACGGCGGTGAAGACGAGTCTTGTTCGATGGCCTGAAACGTAGAAGATGTTTTGGGAGCGGACCGAGTGTACGATCGCAGCGTGTCACAAGGACGGGATGTGCTGCAGGGTTGCTCTCTCCGTTGAAGGAAGGGGGCTCGTCAAAGCCACAGTTATTTCCTTGACTGATGATTCTTTGGAAGGTGCATCTCTTCTGCCGAAGTTGATGGATCTGGGCCAGCTACCAAGACCTGTGTCGCTGCTGACTATTGTTACCTCAAAATCACTGGAGCGTTCAAGAGCTAAGAGCCTCGCTCGTTGCCCAACTTCTGTTGGGTGTGTGCGTTCTTCACCCGGCTACCCTTGTTGTCAACCTGGGCCACTGCAAAACATGCTGGCCCAGCACGGGTGATCCTCCTGATATATCCGTATATCCCTGCATGCATGTGGTACAGCGCAAACGGATGATGGGCGTTTGTTTCGGTTGCTCCCAAGTGATTCATTTCATCATGGTGACCTCAAGAAGATTGGCTTGGCGGAGGATCGCGATTCCTACTTGTAGGTCCAACTAAAGAGCACACCGTACAACCACCAGCAAAACAAGCTCGTGTTTTTCTCCGATCGCCTCTCCGGGAGCAAAGAGGTCTTCATAGGGGCTGGTGTCAAATATTCTGACCGTGGCAATCAGAAAAAAAAGTCATTGGTGACGGTGTCCTCCTAATCGCATAGTCTGCTCCTAGTAGGGAGTAGGCGAGGTGTTTGGATCAACATGAGCAACGAGGAACGAGGAGTCCCTCCGAACAGCCCCATGCCTACTATTGTACTTGTAGAAACACGCGTGGAGATGCTGTAATATGAACACATGAGAGCACATGGTTTGCGTTGAACGAATCTAACATTCACTTGCAATTTCCAGTTTTGGGGCTCCGGAGTTTGTTTCTGAAAAGGAATGTGGGTACCCCGGGAAGCCCCCTACCTGCCCTGCTTGATGCTGTGCTCCGGACCACACCAAGCTGCTGCGCTGTCTCCCAATACAGTAACCACTCGTACGCCTCATGGTAATCCTAGTGCGCGCAACCACTCGGTTGTGGGCGCCCCAAGCACTGGTGCTAGCTGCACAGCCGAGGCCCACCTCCAGTTTCCAGAACTTGCTCGCAAAGAGCGCACTGCACACATCGGCGGTAGCAGCAGCTCAGCAGCGAAGCTCTGGCGGCGTGGGAGGTACTGCCGTGCGGGAACTTCGACCTTACGCTACAGTAGTTCCTGCGGCTGAACGACTGGTCGTCATTGGCGATGTCCATGGGGATATTGGTGAGCTTTTGTTTCTCTTGATTGCTTGATGTCGACTAGATCTTTCGCTGTTCCAGAGGTACAGCTTGCTTTCGTGTTCATATCTCCTGTGTGTACAAGTACAAAGCTTCCGAGTCCTCCATATTAGCTTGGTTGCACCTCATTTTTCTCGCATCAAGTGCGCCGCTTGGTAGTCGTTCATCCAAGGGCCTGGTCGGCACCATGTAGCCATTGAGGAATCGACTCGTGCAGTAGCGCTCCTCGTGCAGCTGCTGCACGATAGTGTCTAGACGATGCATACGTATGCAGTACTCCTAGCCAAGGTCAGCTCCTTTCTGTGTACCTCAACGCTAGACTGAATCATGTACAGCAAAGAAGGAATGTGAGCCTATCGTACAGCAGTATTTACTTCGAAGTACTTTGTAGCAGCATTAGCGGCATTAACTACCAGCATGGAGTTCATGTATCACCAGCATGAATTGAACTGAACTGCTGAGAACGAAGTAGACTACACCTCCCTCTCTCCTCAACCGTACACTACACCACCATACCAACTCGCCGTTAGTGGTGGATCCTTGCCCTTCACAGCCTCGCGCCTCCGCCTTCTTTCTCTCTCGCGGTACTGCTGTAGCGTTCCACTTGAACACAGGAGTTAAATAGTGAACCCTTATCCCTGTCCGCGCGCGTGTCCCTTGACAGACAACACATGCGCGAAAAACGATGATAATCCCTCTGTTCCATCTCGCTACACGGATGTTTGCGTTGCGCCCCGGCCGGCGGCTCACAGACGCTTTCAGGAGCTGCTTGCAGATGGCGGACCTCGTCGATGCCGAAGACAAGTGGGCAGGCGGGGAGACCGTCGTGGTGCAGGTAAATTACAAACTACCTACATGTGCATAGCAGACCATCTCTGACGATTCTGGTGACTTTTTTGCATGACCGGCGATTTGTCCCCGGGAACAAGAACAGCAGCTGTGTATTTTTATGCAGCTGGCTGCAAGTCGTTCGCGTAATATACACGAACTCCCGAAACATGAACGGCTGTCACACGTCTCTGCTATGCATACAATACTGCTGTTGCCCGCTGGTACTGTAGTACCGCCGTGCCGTCCCTCGGTTGACTTCTTGTGTTCAAAAGCGTTGACTTGTTTTGGCGCAGGGTACACGACCGAACACAGCTCTACGCCCCCGGTTTTGTTAATCCGCCTTGTTCACGGCAGATGGGAGACATTTTCGACAGGGGGGACGACGACTTGCCGATCCAGGAATGGGTGTATAAGCTTGCTCAAGAGGCGGGCCGAGCGAACGGAGCCCTGTACAGCGTCATGGGGAACCACGAGGTAATGAGACTAACGGGGGACGGAAGCGCCAAATCGGTACTCATGTTGCTCTCTCTTGTAAGACTCTCGCGTCTGCTGTTGTAGTCTATCCCTGTCTTCGTGAAGAATGATACCAATTTCGCGGACGACAATCAACAAGAAAACGGACCCAACAACACGCTACAGCAGTACACCCTCACCGCGAACCACCACAACTGCGCCCCTTGCCGCGCGATTCGCAGATGCTGAACGCCATGGGGGATCACTCCATGGCCACGAGGAAGGCTTTCGTTCCATTCCTCGCTCTCCGACCAGAGCTGGATGAACTTGTCGGCGGGGACTGGAGCGCGCTGGAAGGCTTTCCCGAGTGGGCGAGGTGCCGACTGGCGGCGATGCGGCCCGGGGGGCCGGTGGCTAGGCTCATGGCGGCGCACGCTGTTTCCATGAAGGTGGGTTGACTGGTCGATCTGTGTGGTAGTTACCCACCCGACTCCCACTCCCAGCTATGTTTGTACGTTGGGCTATAATAGATGCATATTTGTTTGCGTTGTAGTATAATAAAGTGCTGAAAATATTCCGCGTCGCTCGCTCTCTCCGATGCATTTTTTTTTGTCGTTTTTCTCCCTCTTTTTCCTTCCTGTACCAACAACAGGTAGGTGATAACCTCTTCGTACACGCAGGGTTGCTGCCGGAGCATATCCGCGGAACGGCGGCGGGCGAGGCAGGGGGCGGAGATCAGGGCGACTCCGTAGCAGCCGCCGAAGAGGTGATGGAGAGGCTCAACGCGGACACGTGTGCTTGGATGCTGGGCAAGAGATCAATCCCAGAGGAGATCTGGCAGCCCGAGGGTCCCCTTTGGACAAGGGTGTACTCGACCCCGGACTCTCGCGAGATCGACGCGGCGGCGAGAGCCCAGCTGGAAGAGGTGAGGGATGGATGGGGGACGGGCAGCTTGGGGCGGCTTCAGCGGTGCCACCCCCTTTCGCGAAGAATAGGAACTGATGGCTGTGGTAACTCAGAGGGGCATGGGGATTGGGTTCTGGCCATTCTGTTGAGGCATAGGCCGAGTTTTGTTGGATATGTGGCGCTGGCTCAGGCTCGATTGTAGCTCTCAGGATCCCTCTTCCTTGCGCGGAGGATTGTCACGGGATCGGGGGAATCCGACCCGTCTCCTGCTGGCGACAAATCCTTTCTGAGTATGGTCTGCGAGCATCTCGCGGCCGCCGCTGATGCTAACTCATAACTCTGCACTATAAACCTCTCTCTCTCTCTCCCTCTCTCTCTCTCTCTCTCTCTCTCTCTCTCTCTCTCTCTCTCTCTCTCTTTCTCTCTCTCTCGTAAGGTGTTGCGCCTGACCGGCACGAAGCGAATGGTGGTCGGGCACACGCCTCAAAGAGCGGGGATTAACTCGGCTGCGGACGGGCAGGTTTGGCGTGTCGACACAGGGATGACGGCGATGATTGGGGGACGCCCGGAGGTGAGCACAACTCTGCTACACGCTGTGCCGCCAGCCTCTGAATTCGTTGCCACCTGTTTTTCGTTCCCCCAATCTCGACACGATATGTGGCAAGAGTGCTTGGAATCAACCTCTAAACAGTCGGAGGGAGGCAACCCGCGTACATCAGTGGACTTGGCTGTAGCACCCATTCGACGCTTGCCGGGCGCCGCGTGCTCTCTGGGCATCGTACCCCTCCATGTGACAGCAATGTCGCCATCCTTTTCAGAGGCTTCATAGGTCGGCTGCGCCCCACCAGGCACTGGCGGGCATTGCTGACTGTTGCGATGAAAAACGCATGGGTAGCGTTTTTCTGGGCCGCAGAACCGTGGTCCCCGCCGCTGACGCGGTGTACAACAGCCCAACGCCGTTCACCCCCCCCCCCAACCCCAACCCCCCGATAGATAAGACAGGGAGAACATTCTTGAGCCACCTTTGGCAAAGTAGGAAGGAACGATTGGCCTCCTGTGGGAACAATGCCCCATCTTCTCGAGGAAGTGTGGTCAAACAACCAAGGCATGCAATACACGAGTGCCCCCGATGTCACCCACTCTATTTACGATTTACATCAACGATTTGATAAGGGCGGATGAAGCAGTAAGACAAGGAGTCCAAGTAGGGGGAAGGAGTGTGTCCGGACTGATGTTTGCAGATGATTTCGTGGGGGTATCCGAAACACCAGAAGGGTTGCAAGAACAAACAGATGCGGCGGTAGGATACACCCGAAAATGGAGACTGTCGGCGAACGTAGGAAAATGCGCAGTAGTGGTCTGTAACGAAGACAAGAAAAATCCCGTAGAATTCAAATGGAAATGGGGGGAAGAACTACCGGTAGTAGACAAGTATACGTACCTGGGAGTAGAGATTTCGAAGGAGTGCTCATGGGACGCACACATAGCGAAGTTGATTGGGAAGGGTAAAGCTCAGATAGGCAAGATGGACGAGATCCTTACGGACCCACACCTAGACACTAGGATTAAGAGGTGTATTCTCTTGAATGTGATTGTACCTAAGCTAGAGTATGTAGGAGAGGTATGGGAAGGTAACGAAAAGGCCGTCAAGCAGCTGGAAACGGTGCAGATGGCAGCGGCCAAGAAAATACTAGGATGTTCAAGTACAACGAGCAACACTGTATTGAGAGCAGAATTGGGAATGTACTCTCTTAAAACAAAGAGAGACATGCAGAAGTTGAAGTAGAATGTCGGACGATAGACTACCAGCCATGGTTGACAAGGCAGCTTGGGGAAAAGCGACTCCAGGGAAGAAGGGAATCAGATGGGACAAGGTGGTAGAGAAGGTTTGGAAGGAGATAGGAGACGAGGAGGAGACGTTGGACACGGAAGGGTTCGGGGGGTTCAAGACGAAAGTCAAGGAGATGCTAGAAAGTAGGGAGGAGGCAACCCTTCGGAAGAAGGTACGAAGCGAAGACCACTTGGAGATATACGGGAAGTTGAAAGAAGGGATAGGGATGAAGACGTACTTGGACGGCCCCATGGACTACGCGGAAAAGCTGAAATTGCAATTTCGAGTAGGCGATTTGGACTTGCCAGAACGGGAGAAGAGGTATACCAGCCGTAGGAGAGAGGAAGAGGAGGATAGACACACATGTCCATGTGGCAAATCGGAGGAGAGTAGACCCCATATAGTTGGGGAGTGTGAGCTGTACAGGAAGGAAAGAGAGGATCTCGAGGAAGAAATGAGACAGAGAGGGTGTGACATGGACAAGTTTGGTAAGTTAGACAACAGCAAAAAAACGATCGCGATAATTGGGGATAGATGGTGGGCACAAGAGGCCCTAGAGGACGGGGATAAGATGTGCAAGAAATTTTTATGGAGTTTGTGGCAGAAACGTAAAGAGCTCCCAAATGTTGGTGGTGTCTCTAGTAGGGGTAGGAACGGTGCTCCGTCTCGAAAGGGACGCGTGGTCAATGGTCAAATGACTAAGGCAAGCAACAAATGAGTACGCCCCCTCCCCCCCCCTCCCGTCGACGATGCGTGCCGCCCTACCTGCAGGCTCTAGAAATTAGAGGAGAGGAGATGACAATTTTGACGGAGTACAAATCCATCCCCGGCCAGAAGAGAGCCGCTCGCCAGCCTACACCCGTGTCCAAGGGCGATGAGTTTAGAAGACAATGACGAAACCGCGGAGCCCCCCCCCATGCGGTCACGATCAAAACGAGAGATGTATGTAGGGTCGTGACGTGTGATCACGCCGATAGCATTGGTCTTTAGGCAGAACGCAGTGCGTTATGTTGCAGAACCCTTTGTACCCAGAAAAAGTATAGGTTGATGGTTAGACGGACCGGCAGAGGCCGGCGTGTTTTGAATTGGTGGAGGTTTTGGTGTGTTGTATGGTCGTTGGGCGATGTCTAGGGTGTGAACTCTTGTGAACGCAGGCGCTACGTGGTAAGGGTCAGGCCCGGTAGATTGTCTCGCGAGCGAGCTGTGCCTGTCGTACGTCCACGGCTCTCGCTCATGAAAAAACTACGGAGGAAAGACCGCTGCCTGTCAGGGGAAGAACGGCCCTTTTCCCTCGGGCTCGGCCAGGATAGCGCGAGAGGAGCAAGGACATGGGGTTGGCGGCGGGATCATCATGCAACACATGTTCCGAACGACAATGAATATGGAGTGTTGTTGCTATACTGGAAGTTTGCGACATCGACACATGGGACGACCAAGATCGTTCTTTTCGTGGAATGTATACTCCCACAGACGAAGGCGGCGTCCTTTATGCCAGGTGTTTCGAGGCAGCGCGGGGTGTGGGATCTCGGTTAGTATGCGCACAACATCCTGCACGGTGCTGTACACACTAGAACCAATGATGTTGAGAATGCCGGGAAGACTCCCGTTGTTGCCTGTAGCTTCATTTGGCGCAGGGGCGCCCATTGGGTCCGTAAGCCCCCGCCACTGCTGTCTAGATATATAATGCTTTCGACTGCTGGCAGTGATTTTTTACGAACGGAGGATTCGAGCTTGCTGTGTGGGGAAAGTGCTAGCCCAGGTTAGAGGAGAAAACGTTGCAGCAGGTTACAATTCAATTCAAACCAATACAGGAAACCATTGGCACGCACAAGGCGGTCCTACTGCGGTGGGAAATAAACACCCGTCTTCGACCGTTTCCGTTTTTCTACCACCCCATGCCACACCACCTGAGTCCTGCGCAAACGTGTGTGCCGGTGCTACCAGAAGTTCATATCGCGGCGACTACAAGTGTGTACTCTAATAAAGAAACGCTGCAATGGTTTGCCGCGTCGACCGTGTCTCTTTCCCTTGCAATGCCCCCTAAAGAAGAAAGTCAGGACAATTTGTGGCAGGAACCACAAGGAAAGAAAGAACCCGCAAATTCTTCAGCGCCGAAAGAAAGTAGTAAGGACGACAAAACCACCCGACGGCCGTGCTTCCTGCTCCACCGCACGGACAACCTGCAGTCGTGCCAGCCCGCCGCCATACAGAAACGGGAGAGCAAGAAGCTCCACACGTCGCCGGCAAAGCGCGCTAGGTCGTCTTGATGACGACTCATCTGTTGTTGCTTTTTTTTTTTTTCTTCTTAATAATATATATAACACAACGAATCCATCTCTATCATAGATAAGACCTTTTTTGCATTTCGACTAGTACTACAGGTAGTAGGATATTTTTTGCTGTTTTTCTTTTTAGCACCACCTATATCTATCTATGTATATGATGGCACGCCATAATTATTTGGTTCGGATACATATATTGCTGGGGTGTTTTTTACACTCCGCGCCACGCGTGCGTCCGTGCGTGCGCGCTTTTTCCCCGGGTCAAAAAATCAATTGGGGAAGCAGCCGTGGGCACACGGCAATCTATACTCTAATAAAGAAACGCTGCAACAGCGAAGATACCAGTATCGACAACAAGAGGAATTCGGTGTTCTACCTGGCTGAGCAAACAGTGACAACATCGATGGCCACACACTCGTAACCAAGCACAGAACGAAAAACGTACGTTTGCGGAGGCTGAACACGAAGGAATCTGAGACTGGCAAGTGATGCCCCGAGAGGAGACAACACGCACGGTTTATTCGCTTTTTGCGCCGACGCTTCACGCTTGTGCGGCAGCGCTGGCTTGACTCGTGCCCCTCGAGGGAGCGTAATCGAGTACAAGACACCATCTCTTGGTGCTCTGTTCTCCAACACGAACGTCCTCCGAAGATAAAACACCCAAAACCGTTGTATGTATGCGGGAGCCTGTAGATCACTTTGCCCGCTTGCTTGTCGATTTCTCGATTCGATTACGTTCTTCATCATCACGACCCGTTTTCAGGCGCTGCAGAAGCCGCTGCTCCAGCACCCCCGTTCTCAGCATCGTAGTGATCTGCTCGACCCCAATCGGTGTACTGCTCGGCGTCTGCCTGACGGAAGTCGGTGTATTCCCTCAAGGCCTCCTCCAAACGCCCGATCTTGTGCAGCATTACGATGACCTCTTTCTCTCGTTCCAGTACCTGCTTTTGTCGCGCAACGTAATTCCTGAGCTCCACCAACAGAGACAAGGCTTTCTACGCCGCCATCGTTTCATTTCTGCTTGTGGCATGATGGTTTACACCCGTCCGATCGCCCCGTGTGCAAAAACGTGTGTGCTCTTTTGCACCAAGATGCCTTGGCTAAACGCGTGCGGATGCATGGGTGGGTTGTCATTCAGAGTCCCATCTCTGTCGCCGCCAATCTTAGTGGGAACAGGGTAGCACACCACATTGATTGCTGATACCATCGTTTCATCCGGAGTACAGTCGGAGGGACCCCCTTCACCTGTTTCTGCAGCTCCCCGATGTTGGCGTCCTTCTCCTTGAGCATCTGTTGATACGCTTGGCAGTCCTGCTGGGCCTTTGTAATTTTGGCTTCCTTCTCGTCGTTGTTGGCCTAAAGTGGTACATTGCACGGTGTACAGTATATTTTCGGGGTGGAATTTTCGACATGTCTGATCTACGAACGTGGTGTCACCGTTGCTCCTCCTCAATCTTCAGCGAGTTGTCAATGTGCGAACATCTGCAAAACAAATAAGCTCTGTACAGAAAGAAAACGCCAATAAAGAAAGACATCCGTTGTTTGCGGACAACATGAAAGACAGCTTCGAAATCGTCTGAACTCCGAAGTGTCAACGTGAACTGCGTTGCCCGCACACGAAGTAGATGCTTCTTGCTTACAGTCGCGTCTCGTCATCACCTTCAGCATCTTCATGGCGGTTCGAAGTCGGGCAACTTCCATTGTTGCCTCATCAGCAGCAGCCTTATCCGGGGGGAGAGGGGGGGCGTTGGGATCCGCTGCACTCGCTGCGCTCTTTGCGCTCGCATCTACCCCACCTGGTAGTCCATCATCACAAGCTGCCATTCCGAGGAGTAGATTCTCCCTCCCGATGGCCTTGGCAACAGCCATGGCGTTCAAGCCTTTGCCGTTTTCCTTTGCTGTGTCCAATCCATCGAGAGTTAGCATCCACTCAACGAGCTTTACGTTGTTGGTCTTCACGGCTATTATCAGGAGCGTGTCTTTCTTGTCACCGTCTACGCCGTCTGGGGCGTACCACTGCAGATCGCCATAGTACCTGAATCAGGAAGAGAATGTGAAGAATTGGGTTGCACCGTGGTATTAGTGGCGTGAAGTCTTCTGTTTGTTGGGCGGCTCGCAAGGCTGGCGCCCATCCGACAACATAGAGGCAGAACTCCTACAATGCGTGCGCAAAAGACGAAGGCAAGCTCCGTAGACAAGTCTGTTTTGGCCCTGGAGCTCCTAAAGATTCATCATCTATTCGCAGCTGATGGGAATCGCAAGAGTCAAGAACAGTGATCTATTATCACATATTCCCCGTATCCTACTCTTTATGTACGTGTGTCTGTGCTCCCTGAATCTCGATATCCTGACCTCCACATGTACATCTTAAGATGCACAGGGGAGTTGACAATTCTGCATGCATGGCGAGCCGGTTCACCCAAAAGGCACCGAAACCAAATGCTGGTTGAAAAACCTGTAGTTTCATGCGCCACGGTCCCGTTCTTGGGGAAAGTTTTAGGGACCACTATAATAGTACATACGTTTGTTGTAGTTCCATGCCATCGATTACATAGCTACAGGGGCACAATATCCATGGCCTCGATGCTTAGTATACTTCTATAGCTGTGGAACGTCAGCTGTCACGAGGTGCCCTTCGTTCTCTGATGCTGCCGTAAAGCTCTGGTAACAAGGGGATGGATGTTTGCGGTGCCGGTGGGCTACATGTAACAAAATACACGTTTCTGGCGTTCGGTTCTCAGTTCTTTGCCAGCATATACCAGAGAGTATCCGCTGGGGGTGCCCCTCGCCAGCGCTGCTTGCCGACTTTATTATGTACGGCAGCTCAGTTCTCAGTGTATCTCAGGCAGAAAAGACGTGTATGACGAGAAAGGAACCCTCGACGTTCCCTTCGTTAAGCAGGCAGCGTCTACAGCTAGCCCACGTGGTCAGCTGGCGGCAGAGAGCTGGGGATCGAACCCCAGAGATAACACATATCTTTCGTTCGCCGCAGGTTAGTCTACTGTAGCCAGCGAAATATACTAACTACAAGGTCAGCAACGCTATATTTGGCTAGTCTATTGTAGGCTATTAATATTTGTGCGCTGTCTATGTAACTGCATTCAGTGCCCACAGAGAGAGGTCTTGTGACGGCGAAACAGAAGACCTGATGATCCCGAAAGCAAAACGAAAGACGACTTTTCGCATAATATCATCGATGTGTGCACAGCTGTCATGTAGCGTACCATCGTCCGGCCCCGCCCTTCGTTGCTCGGCGCCCGTCGAAGGCAAAGTTGATGTCAGCGCCGGTCTCGTACGCACGGCGGCACATATCATGGTCGTTCTCCCTTGCCCCATAAAAGAGATCGAAGATCTTGCGGTCCGTCATGACAGGGAAGGCCTACTGCAGCAGTAGCAACGAACATACCGTGTAGGAGAGAGACGGCACAATCCACGATGACGGTGACGGCATAGAAGTTTGCGCGCCAAACATATTCGCTACGGACAGCCTGCACTGCTGCACTACCATGCACGAGTAAACATTTCGGACTAATTTCTCGATCATTGTTACCGAGTATCGTACATGTGATCAGACACGGGCGGACGTACGCCCATGGACACATACACCCGACTCGCATCTCGAGTGATATTATTGTACAATGTATGCATTCGTGATTTCAATTTTCCGAGAACCTATAAACCCAAAACACCCCGGGTAGTTCTCCTCATCCAACTCATCGAGGAACACGACGGAGGCCCGACCACTGAGTGCTCAAAAATGGTGCTCAAACATGTCTCAATCATACCTCGGAACCTCTCGCGCGTGTATGAACTAAGGAATAATAAAAACACACGCAGAAAGACTGCCCATTCGAGATATACCCACAGTCGAACGGGATGTGAACCCTCTTGCTGTTGAGTGCGATGTGCGACGTGCGACATGTGAACTCCCAATAGGCAACAGTAATGCCGCGAACCTCAAACTGTACTGGGAACTGGTTTAGACTATGTACGTTATAGCATGTTGGTTCATGCGGGGTTGTATGGCGGACCTCCCCCCCCCCATCTCCCCGACGCAGAGCTCAGCGCGTTCTAAGGACCTCGTCTACCTATCTATCTAGAGGGAGTCATCACAAGCACGGTATACTCTCTGCTGCGCCTGCCTTCCATGGGTTGTTAGCAGCGTACGGCTCATCGCGGGGGTGAGAACCCTACAACGGCAGACGTACCTGCTATTTGGAATTGCCCGCTACATATCCTTCCGTGTAGGTGCCGTCCCCCACGGAGGTGGTGGTGGCGTGTGCGCCTAATGGATCGCTTACGAGCCGACGCGCACGGCCCTTGCCTCGGCATACCCGAGGGTTACCTGGACAGCGTCGTGGTCAAGGCTTACCACGTGGACATCGCTCTGGCCGTAGAAGAGGCGGCGTTCTCGGGGCTCGTCAGGATTCCGGTGCACGTGAAGTCGGGGGCGGCCTGCAGAACGTTCTATCTCCATGCCGCCGCGGGGCTGCGGGTTCCAGCCGCGAGCGTGAACGGCGTGCCCGCCGTCGTCGTGCGGGGCCGTGCGACGAGCATCGAGGTGCCCGAGGAAGCTGCAGTTTGCGGCGGCGCGTCGGCAGTCATTCAGGTTCATTTTGCGGGGTTGATCAGCAAGACGCGGACCGACGGCTTGTACATGATGGAGACCGTGGACAAGGAGTCAGATGCAGGTGGGGAGAAAGCAGTAGCAGGAAGGCTGCGGGCGGAAGGCAGCCAAGGGACAGAACAAGAGGGGGGGGGAGGGGGAGAGGGAGAAACCAGAGGACAAGGGGGTAGCAAGGCATCTATTGACATTCGCAGGAACGGTGCTGCCGTTGAGGCTGTCGCCAGTGGCGGCAGCAGCAGTGGCAGCAGCAGTAGCAGCAGCAGCAGCAGCACCCCCGCCAGCAGCACCCCCGCCAGCAGCACCCCCGCCAGCAGCACCCCGGCTGCCCATTCCCCGGGGATTGTTCTCGGCACGCACCTGGAGCCAACACACGCTCGAGAACTCCTCCCCTGCGTCGACGTCCCTAGCTCCAAGGCTGTCTTTCACCTCACCCTTCGCGGGGTCCCGCGGCACCTCCAGGCCATCTCGAACACCCCGATACTGCGCACCGAAGACGATACAGCAGCGCCAGATGATGGAGGCTGCCGCTATGCGGTCAAGACAGTAGTGTTTCAGCCGACCCCGGCAATGCCCACATACGTCTTCGGTTTTTGGGTGGGGGATTTCCATTGCGTTTCCGCGCGAGCCTTGATGACCGCTGCCGTTCGGAGCAGCGACGTGTCTCTACCGCCGCCACCGCCGGCTCGTTTGGAGGAGGAGGAGGAGGAGGACGCAGTCCAGATCAACGTGCACGTCGTGCGGGGGGTCGATTTGAAAGGAGTGGAGTTTGCGTTGGAGTTTGCCACGCGTGCTTTCGAGCTGTTCTCGAAACTGTTCTCGGTCCGGTTCCCGATACCAAAGCTGGACCTGATTGGGCTGCCACAAATGCACGGGCTTGGCATGGAAAATTTCGGGGCGATCACCTGCCTGCAGGTGTGCATGTGTGTGCGTGTTTGTTGCGATCACCTGCCTGCAGGGGTGCGTGTGTGTGTGTGTGTGGATGCAGCATTATAGTCTACGTTCAGGAACGTTGCTGGTAAATTAATTTTCGGATCCAACCCTTTTAGGGGATCATCCACCGAGGACACTTGCTTTAACTCGTGAAAGTTATCGGTACATTGTGATAAAAAAGACTATTTTGATATCACGTCGAACCCCACATGAATAGATCGCTCTCCGTGTTCACGCTCGGTATCCCCGTTGTTCGTTCTGTCGGGGGCAGGAATACCTGGTGGTTACACCCGACACGACCTTCGTGCGACGTCGGCGCATCGCCCGACTTATTTGCCACGAGATCAGCCACATGTGGTACGGCGACCTGGTTACACCCAACAGCTTCGATGAGCTCTGGCTGAAAGAGGTGCGTTTGCTTCGTCTTGCACCGTCGTACATACGCGAAATCGTTTGCACCCAATAGCAAGGGCAACGGTGCCGTGCCCAACGGCACGATCCTCGAGACATGGGGAGATACAGCTTGGAATTTTTTGTGTTGTTTTTTACCACTCACTGCTGTTGATGTCCGTGGCGTGATGGTAGCCGTGCTGCTAAGGAACGCTTGTACGTAGAGGCAGCACGCGAGCAGTGGATGTTTCGAGGGGCGTTGGTGGCCTGTCTACATATATATAAGTATATAAGCCATGTGATGAGGGTAGATGCGTTTTTTTTTTTCAAGGGGTACGCTCATGAAACGGCCAGCAGTAGGGAAGCTGGGCCACGGATTATGAGAGCATGAGAGATATGTTGATCACCGACATCTGCAGCCGTTTTTGGCAAAGACCAAGCGTCTGTTGCTCCCATCCCTTCATCTTCTTTCGTCCTACCCGCTTCGCGCATGACAATGTGCGCCCCCCCCCTGTATTATTGTCGGAGTAGAGATCGCAAAAGACTGCTCGTGGAATGCACACATGTCCAAGGTAGCGGAAAAGGGCAAAGCACGAGCAGGGAAGCTGCACCCAATACTCGCAAAACCGCCACCTCGATACACGCATCAAATTGACGGTTTAATCGTACCGCCGCTAGAGTACGCCGGAGAAGTATGGAAAGGAAATAAGAAGGTAGTGAAAGAACTCGTGGCGGCGCAGATGAAAGCAGCGAAAATCATCCTAGGATGCTCCAAGCGCACAAGTAATGCAGCTGTAAGGGCAGAATTGGGGATCCAATCCCGACGGTCGGGAAGAGACGCAAGGAAGCTGACATGGTAGTATCGCATGTGCGGGATGGGAGAGGAGAGGTTGCCGAGAATAGTATGGGAGGCGAAGTGGGCAAACAAAAAGAGGGGTAGACAACCCACGGAATGGGTCAAGGTTGTAGAGGACGTATGGAAGGGGTTAGAGATCGACATAGATGAAACGCTGGAAACAGAGGGTCTACAGGGGTTCAAGGAGAAGATATCTGTTGCTTGTGCCGAGAGAGAAGAACAGAATCCAAGGAAAGAAACCGAGGATAAGGAGGGTCTAGAAGTGTACGGAATGTTTAGGGCTCAAGGATTACCTACATGGCCCAATGTATGCAGGGACAGAGCTTAATTAAGGTCAAATTCAGGACCGGGGACATGGGCCTTTGAGAACGTCGACGAAGACATAGGACGGTAGACGACGAAGACGACAAGTGCAAATGTGATTGCGGCTTCGAAGGCGAAGACCGTGTTCATGTAGTCGCGGAATGTCCCTGGTACGAAGAGGAGAGGGAAGTGTACATGACTGAGCTGAGAAAAATACAAGGAAGGCACAGGGAGATGTTTGAGGCATGGAATAGAGAGGAGAGGACGGTAGCTGTACTGGGGAGTAGGAAGTGGTTTGAAAAGGCGGGAAGGGATATCGTTAGAATAGACAGACTAGGGAAGACATTTTTGAGCCACCTTTGGCAAAGTAGGAAGGAACGATTGGCCATCGGTGATCGGTCCTGTGGGAACAATGCTCCGTCCTCTCGAGGACGCGTGGTCAATGGTCTAACCGCTAAGGCATGCAAAACATAAGAGTACGCCCCCCCCCCCCCCCTGTATTTCGAAGGGTATGGCACGTTTCTTCGAGTATCTAGCTGTCGACGCTCTGGACCCGTCGTATCACGTGTGGAACAACTTCATGAGCGAGGTGTTCGTCCAGGCAATGCTGGTGAGTCCCGATGCGTTTGTAGCCCCAAACGTTTTTGTATGCTTGTTCAACGCATTTTGGGTTTAAGCCTTCCGTCCCATGATTGAGGTGGAGAGTAACAGACGACGGCGGTGCCCCTCCTCGTTTTCAGTACCCAAACCAGCGAGGAATCATGAGTACGCCGAGTCGGGGTTAGCCAGCTGTTATTTTGGCCGTTCTTCGAGGTTTGATTTTCTTGCGTTTCGTGGCGAGTGGACGCCCCTTTTCTTCTGAATTTCACCACCTCGTTTCACCCGCTCACTTTTTCGTCCGCCCCCCTTTCCCCTGCTGCAGGCAGACTCGCTGGAGAACAGCCATCCGGTGGTGCAACAGCACGACGGTGACATCGCGAGCATCCTTGAAAGCTTCGACACGATAACGTACTGCAAGGGCGCGAGCATCCTGCGGATGCTGTACCGCTGCGTTGGTCCCGATCGATTCCTCAGAGGGATGGCGGACTTCGTAGTTTCGCATCAGTACCTCTGCGCGACTCAGGAGGACCTGTGGAAGGCAGTACAGGTGACGAGGGCGGGGGGGGGGGGAGGTTCCCCGAACGTTGCTTGCCGAAATCGTTTGGCCATCGACGAAGCACCATCTTTTGTCGAGAAAGGAGCACCTTCCCTTCTCCGGACGTTGAAACGACCGACGCTCTGGACGTTTATGCCCCGCTTGGGCATTCAGCGTGTTGCCTTTCATAACTTGTCCCCTTTTTCCTGTTTCGCCTGCGGGCCACTTCATTTTCTAGGCCTCCAAATCCTTTGTGTAGCTGTGTCTCGTTAGCCACGCGTGTCTTTCTCGCATCAAGCGAGTGGAATGCCTGGTGGGATTCACGGCGGCAACTGCCCATTAACAACTCTGTTGCTCGAGCAACTCTTCTTGCCGAAGATCGCTCAAGCGCCCCCAGCGAAGCAGGTCGTCGGAGACGTTTTTTGGGGAGCTGATGCGAGAGCGAAAGTAGGGGGGCTTCGTGGCAGGGGCAAAAGTGGAAGGACGTTGTGTCTTGGGGCGGAAGAACAATACAGTTGAGCAGCGAGAACCGTTTGAGAACAGCCACACCGTCGAGGCGGCACGCAGGGGCTTCCTCGACGCTCGGATCTGTCCAAACCGCTATGTTTGGTGGATTTTCCCACCAAGACCCTGGCAACGCTGATCCCCCCCCCCTGCACCCCGCACCCCCCGTTGTTCCCCCCGCAGGGCGTGTGTGACCGCGATGGCGTCGCTTTAGACGTTCGCGGCCTCATGCAGCCGTGGCTCACCCGCCCGAAGTTCCCCATGCTCCGCGTGCGGATGGTGGGCGACGCTCTCAGCATCACTCAGCAACCTTTCTCCTTCTTCCCGTTTCCTCGCGGCGGGAGCTTTCCTCCTCCGAGCGGGGTCGACTCAGCAGCTCATGGAGCTGTTGGCCAGGGGGGGAGCGGCGGGTTGGTGGTGAGCAGGGAGGACGGGGGCGGGCGGTCAGCGAAGTTGCTCCGGATGGGTTCCGCCGCCGCCGGGGGGGCGCAAGCGCAAGGCCAGGCTAGCCCGTCGCCGCCGCCGGTGCCTCACAAGCCGCCGCCGCTTGACGATAGCACGAGGAGCGAGGGTAGTGCGAGCGCAGCCGCCGACATGCAGGTGTCCGATGACGAGCGGCCTCCGGTGGCGGGGGTGACGCAATCTGGTTCGGCCTGCTGGGCTATTCCACTGCGGATTCGAACGTCGCGGGTGGTGTTGCCGGAGGACGGAGACCTTGGTGCAGCGGGGAGGGGGGAGAGGCACCACGGCGCCGGGTCGGCAGGGGCAGCAGCAGCATCGGGTGAGGACACGCACCGCTTCCTGCTGGCCGAGAGGTCGACGTCGGTGGCGCTGCGCTGCGAATCGGCCGATGCATCCGTGGGCCGGGTTGAGAGTATCGACAGCAATGGGCGCAACGGAGGAGGAAGACTCCCCTACATGGTGGTGAACGACGACCACAGCGGCTTTTTCACGGTCCAGTACGAGTGCGTGAGGAGCTGGCGGCTCGCCCTCGCCGCCGTGGAGCAGGGCGTCCTGAACGAGTGCGAGACGGTGGGATTCGTCCACGACCTCGTCATCGCGCTCCACGAGGGGGTGCTGCTCGATCGCCGGGCGGCGTACTTGAGGATCGCTGGCGCGCGCGGCGGCGGCGGCGGCGGCGGCGGCGGCGGTGGTGGTGATCATCTGAAGTGCGACGTGCCGTGCCTCTTCTCCCGCCTCGAGGAGGTGGTGCGGCTGCTAGACCGCGGCCACCCGGCCTGGTGCACGGGGCAGCTGTTCCTCTGGGAGCTGCTCGTCATGTGCGCCTCGAACGTGCTGGGCGAGGTCTACGAGCTGTCCCGCAGGAGGCGAGAGGCCGCCCTGGTCCAGAAACGCTTGCGAGACACCCTCGAGTTCGAGAGACTCGTTGCCGTGACCGGGGGCGGCAGCAGCGAGGCGGGCTCCGCGCAACAGGAGAACGGGGCGCCGCGTCGACACGGAGAGAGCGGCCGTGACTGTGCCCCAGAGGGAGGAGAGGGGACGACGACCGTTCCGGCGATGGTGCCGCCGCCGCCGCCGCCGCCGCCGGTCCTGGACAGCGAGGTCGCGTCCGCAGCGGAACGCCTGCGCAACGTCACCGCCGACGTCGAGCGGGCTTCCGCGGTGGTGGAGGGGCACGCCGAGTGGTACGCGGAGCGGGTCGTGTTCGGGGAGGAGCAGGCGAACGAGGGCCTCCAGTCCCTGCGAGCCATGCAAGACCGGCTGGACAGGAGTCGGGCTCAGCTGGCGTGGGCTCAGCAGAACGGAGTGCTCGAGGCTGCTGCGGTTTGAGAACTCTTGAGAGTTCATGATTTAACGGGCCCCGGGTAGGTTTTTTACTCCCGAGAGGATTTGTTGGGCAAACCGTATTCCTAGTGCGCTACTACATCCGTATTATCTGTACAAATAAAATCGTTAGTTAGTGAACGCCTTCTGTACAGCGTTGTAAAGCATTAGTGTCTTTGATATCTCGCGTTAGTCCATGTTTAAAGTCAGTTGCATCCCCATTTACTTTTTGCGACCGGGAAGTTGGTAAATCGCAGGCATTGAGCGTGCTTCTGCGCCGAGAAGGTTTGGGGGTTTGCTGTCGTTGTCGCTCGATTCGCTGTCGCATCTTGTTTGCAGCAGACACGCTGTCGGAGATGCCGTCAGTTCACACCGACCAGTGGTACCAAGGCCCGAAGGTCCGCGTGTAGAGTAATAAAGAAACACAGACGCCCGCCATGCCAGGGCCAAAACTTAAGAGTGGGTAGTGGGGGGGGTTACTTTTGGTGACGCGAACCATTTTTTTTGTGTTGTTTTACTAACGCCGAACCGAGTCGGTTTCGGCGGGGGCAGGCTCAAGGTTTGGGGGGGCGTACTAATGTTTTTGTGTGCCTTAGCTGTTAGACCATTGACCACGCGTCCTGGATTGACTACGCGTCCTGGAGAGGACGGACCAGGTTGGGGGGGGGGGGGGGTAGAGCTACAACGGTGTTGAGACGGTTTATGTTTTGTATGCCTTAGCTGTTAAGACTATTGACCACGCGTCCTCGAGAGGATGGAGCAGGTCGGGGCATGGTGCTTCAAACAGAGTGTTGAGATAGAAAACGAATGAGCCAAACACGTTCCAGGGGCGTTCCAGGGGCGTCTGGCTTTCTAAGCGCTTGGGCATGCTCTGCATGGATGATCAGAGAGCGACCACACCAGATCACTCAATCTACACCACAGCAGTTGCAGCTTAGTCTTTGAGGACGACGACACGACGCAATCTTCCGGTTCTCATCGTTTGGTGCGCAGTCTCTTGGAAGACCCCAAGAAGGAGAGGGCTTGATTCATCCTTCCCGCGGCGGCCGCCACCTGTATAAAAGACTCTTAGATGCGCACGTACCTGTTAGCTGTGCTCAACCGCTGTCCGCCAGGCCGGGGGGGAACACTAGCGTCTCCATCGAAGTTCTCAGCAAACGCCAAAGAAAAACGGAGGAGACAAAAGCGCTTAGAAGTAGACCGCCCAATTCTGAATCCCTGGGACTTTAGTTACCGTTCGGCTGGTCGGCAACCAAAAATCAAAGCAGATCGTGTGCCACGAATGGTGGGGAAGTGCGTTCGAGTACACACCCACACGGGCAGGTAGATCTTGCAGGTCTGAGAGTCCCATGCATGTGCCGATTGCGTCGACAGCATCACCATCACCTCGACTTCGCTCTCGCACACATGCGGCCATCAGACGATAGGCACTTGGTGTTGACTAACTGGGAGGCCGCACGGATCCAACGCCAAAGCCTTTCCAAAATCATTTTTTCTTGCCACACGCGTGTACAGGACCATGTTTCGAAGCACATGCATGCGCGATCGACGTCGTCGGCTTTTTGCTTGTGTCCGCGGCATGAAGTCTCTCACGAGCAAACTACACAGAATTGACCCCGAAATCCTTTTTCCTGCCACGCGGCGTGTACATGTACTACGTGTCGAAGCAAACCGCTCTCCGACCATTTACACTGAAGAAGTGATCTTTCACCTCTCTCTGAGGGCCACCCACCAACGATGTCTTTTACGTCAAGAAAACTCGCTCTGACGACCACCATCCAGTGTGTGCCTCCTCTCCTACTCGTGCATTGGTTGGATGAACCGACCACAACTAGTACATTCCTCCAACGCGCGTTTATCGTGTTGCCGTGTCCCTCGCAATCCCTGCTCCAAATCAATCCCCACACAGCAAATTAGTATTCTTCGCCGTACAGCAGACACAGATCGCTGACAGAGCCGGCAGTCGCAAACAAACGGGGTTACCGCCATGCCTTTCTAGCCAACCGGCCATGCCTAAGTCGAAGCGGCAGAAATACACAAAAAAAACAATCTAGAAATACACATCACCGACAACTGTACACACGACAGGTATTGTATAAGATAGGAACGATACCAGAAGTGCCACTCTTACTCACACACACGGTGCTCGACTGCTTGCAGAGTCAATGTACATGAAAGGCGACCCGAAGCAAGCTTTGCGCTGACCAACGGTCTAACAGAACCTATCTCTTTCACTTCCACACAAAACAACACGTACCCGTGGACCTGCGACCGCTGCTTCTCGATTCCAACACAACGCTAAGCGCTGTCGCTGCTCTGTCCTTGTTGACGTTGCGGCCAGAACATGTTACCGCCAAAGCTTTACCCTAAAAAGCAGATGCTCAGACCGAAAAAAATTACGGACGCAAGGGGGGGAAAGTGGACAAGTCGACCAATCAAAAAGCGCCCCAAGATTCTAAAATGCAGAGACAGCTGTTTCTCAACAGTTTTCTACCATGCTACACAAAATAAGGCACCGTTTTGTTCGAGCATCACAGCAGTTTTTTCTCCTAACGTAGCCACTCGGCTGAGCCCGCGATGTAAGCATCGTTTGTCTCTTCTACCGCAACTCGAACTCCAACACGAGAGCATATCGTACGACGGCTTGCCCCGTACTGCGTAACAATTGTAAAACTGATACTCAAATCCACGAGACCTAAAACCACACGCAAGGCATACACACAAAATGATTGAACACACGTTAAAATCTCTCCCCCTTGTGGTGTATCTATCCACCGCTGTTAAGAAAGCCCACCATCACCCCAGCTGCTTTAATCGTTTGAGGATGGCCGTTACCCTAGCAGGGTCGATCTGGGGAACCTCGTCGCCTACAGTGCTCCGGATCTTGGCCGCGATGCTCAGATCTCGGTACTTGCCCAGCAGGGACGCGAGATGTCGCACGTCCAGCCGAGGGTAGGCCAAGGCCATTCGAGCCGGATCGGTCGCGATGTCGATGTTGTTTCTGTTGGAAATTGGCAAAAAGATGAACGATGAACGAATGAATGAATGAATGAGAGGGAGGGCGGTGGAGGGGGGGAGGGGCATAGTCGTGCATGCCGTAGTCGTTAAATCATTGACCTCGCATCTCTACAAAGCCGGGACGGAGCACGCCGGGTTCTCACCGGACCAGGCTCTCATATCACCAAGCGCGAAGCACCGTGAGGTATTCGGGGAGTCGCATGAAGGGTGCGCTGCATCCTTCTAAGGTGTTCGGCATCTTGTGCTTACTTCCTTGCGTACGGATGACAGCTGCGTATGATTTAATTTATTTTCTGGTGCTTTCCCTTCAAGAGACAGCAGTTATGAGCACTGTGTAACTGCCTCGAGGGTGCTTGACCAATTTAGATAACACAAACTGGTGCGGTCATCCCCTTTGCGCGGAGTGAGGGTTCTCGACCCCGCACAACAGGATCTTCTCGACCCAACAAACTTCACGGGAGCTGCCAAGGACTCATCAGTCGAGCCGCGTCGAGGGCGGTCTTGTTTCGTTGCCCCCCCTCCCCCCCCCCAC